GGTCCCACTGTGGGTCAAACCACCACACCAGTCTAGACCAAGACATCTTCCCACTACCTTCGTATCTAAGAGTCACAAACACAGCAACAGTGTCCGGGCTTGGTTATTCACAGGGGGATGCTAACTCTTTCAGTCCTAGCATCAAAGCACACCTGGCTGATTCTCAACCTCCACATCCCTGGACAAGCTTTAGGAGCTTTCCCAGCACACCAGTTAGGGGCAAGGCTAGGACCCAGCAGAGACCCAAAGGAATGTTCTCCACCTCCTTCCATGAAGGGATCACCACCACAAGGACTTTGTGACAGCTTTCCCATCTCTTTCTCATCCCTGAAATGAGTTCCAGCTGCTGTATTCAGGCCTGAAACAAGAAGTACCAGGTAAGGATGAGATAGTCTCCCTGTCCCACACTTCTGCCTTTCCAGCCAGCAAGCCATACCCTGCCTGCCCTCTTGGGTTCAGCACTGAGCTACTTCTTGCTTGACAATGGTCAGAGCTGCTGCCAGGCTCCCAGCTTCCCCAGGGTGAGTTCCCCCAGCCCACAGCTCCTAACACACGAGAACCACCAAAAGCAGCTCTAGGATCAGCTCCACCATGCCACTCAGCCAGGAATGCACCCAGCATGGTCAGACCCAGCACAAGGTGCCACGATGTCTAGCTCTGGCCAGAGCCCACTGTGGCCTGACCCGGACAGAGCACAGGAGGATGGCGTATGTAAAGGTAACATTTACTGAGAGATACAGAACTGAGTATTATGAAGAACATACATGGATGGAGAGGGTAGCAACACCACTGCAGAGGGTGGCTTGGACCCCCTTACCAGCACCCCAGGGAAGGACCCAGATGCTACCAGACAAGTAACACAATGGAGATAACTGTGGCATATGCATTTGTAACAAACAGACCATCATAACATACATTTCTATGGGATCACATCTAGTGATTATATAAATCCATATAGAGATTGCTGTATAAAAACTTTGTAAAAAATACTTTAAAAAAGTGTAAAAATGTGCATTCAAGAGCACGGCCGACACGGACAGCTGGGCTGTAAACATTATACTGAGAGTGTGCTTGTGTGGGGCGCCTGCGCCACCCAGCCCCGCCAGGCCTGCCCACCAGACGGGGCTGTGTCAAGTGTTTTCGGTTCTTGGGTTCAGGTTTTCCTCCGGAGCGTGTGCCAGGAGCGGTGGCGCGTTGGGGCGGGCCCCGGGCGGCCCCGGCGGGCCTGCCGCTCTTCAGCCTGTGGACCCTGCTCCCCACGGGGTGTGTGGTCCTCACGGGATGTGCTGCAGCATCATGGGTCCCCAGGGCCACAAGCAGGCTGAAGGGCCGTGATGAGGTATCACAGGGAGGGAGGTTGCCCTCACTGGTGCCACTAGCCCTGCTCCCGGGTTCAGCATCAGAGTACATGGTTGACAGGTTCCTGATCTTCTCTGTCCCTGTATTTGTATGGTCCATGGTTCCCAAGGAAGCCCACTGGGTCCTGGCTGCACCAGGCCTGGCTGCACAGTTCTTCATACAGTACATACATTAGAGACCCTGGAAGACCCTGCACCACTGTCTCCTCCTCCTGGCCCAGTGCCACCTTCACTTCTTCTCTAGCTGCTCCAGCAATGGGTTGGCTTCGTTCTCTGGTGTCTTGATGCTGTCTGTCCGCACAATGCAGGTGGGACGGTGCTGGTTCAGCATCAGGATCAGCTGCTGCCTCTCCTGTTTCAGCTCTTCTATCTGGGCCTTCAGCTCAGCATTCATGAGCTCCAAACGCTCAGACTCCTAGCAGGACAGCAACACAACTGCATGTGATTACTCCAACAGGACAAGGTACAAGGAGAAACAAGCTGGCCAACAAGCCATCTCTGCTCAGTGCTGCCCCTCAGCCCCTGCAGCACAGGAAGCAGCCTGAAGACCTGCCAAGGCACCAGGTCCCTCCAGGCAGTTCATCCCCAGCCCCGTGTCCTTGCATTACCTAGTGCCAGCACATGGAAATACAAGGCCACCTCCTAGGACAGGTCTCTGCTGCACCACAGCAAACCCCCTGCCTGGCTGCTTTCCATAGTCTGGAAGGGTGTTTGGAAACAAACTCGCATTTAAGTTTTCACCCCTCATCTGCCAGGATCTGCCCTTGTGAAATGGCCCCTTGACCCCCACTGTGTCATTTGCCCATGTCCCACTACCCCTTGAAAAAAAGAAAGTGCTGTGAGAGTTTTTCTGCCTTGGGGTCATGGGTGGGTGAGAGGGCATGTGGCCTCTGAACAGGGATTTGGGCAAGGGGCCAGCAGAGTGTCAGCCCCTGTCCTGTGCCACACTGCCACAGGTGCTCCTGCTCCAGCACTGAGGCAGAGACACCATCAGCCCTCTCTCACTCAAGCCCAGAGCCCACCTCCAACCCTCTCCATCCCTGGTACCACAGGCACAGGATGGCTATGAGCTCTGCCTGGGCACACAGACAGCCACCACCTTCACAGCCTTGTGGGAAGCACAGCGATGGGCTCGTATTTTCCCAGATTAGGGCATGGGAGCAAGGGGAGGCCGAGGGGCAGTGCAGGAGGGAGTGTTGCCCACAGCTGGGGCACCTTTCTAGGGAAGTGCCCCCACCAAGGTTCCCGCTGTGCTCTAGGACAGGTCAGGGCACCCACCCGCTGCAGAAACTCCGTTCTCTCCTTCTTCTTGTTACGACATCGTGCTGCTGCTACTTTGTTTTTCTCCCGGCGCCTTTTCCTCCTCTCCTCTTCCTCGTCCAGCTGCAACGAGACAGAGAAGCCCAGGTGAGAGCTGGCAGGTGTGGGGCAGGGGGAGCCCCCCCAGCGCCCCTGCCAGTGGCAGGGCAAGGAGAGGGATGGCAGCCACCCGTGCCAGTGGCCATTAGCGATGCGGTACAATCCTCACCAGCAATCAGGGGTGCTGCTGCCACAGTCTCTGACTCCACTCTGTGAGGACACAGGGAGGGAGATCAGTGCAGTACCCACAGCTGGGGACCCAGCTGGCAGGGGACAGACAACTCTTTGCAGGGCTGCTCCGTCCCTGAGAGACGGCAGAGACAAGGAGAATAGAGCCCCATCCTGCAAAGATGGGCACAGTTTGTCACATCTCTGTGAGCACAGTTATTCAAAGCATCACACACGCAGCCAAGGGTGAGAGGCAGAGAAACCTGAAAGATCTCCCACCTGGGCCGGGCTGTTCCCCCTCTTCCAGTACATGAGACTGTGTGCTGCAGCTTCAGTGCCAGCCAAGTCACAGAGCCACCACGGTACAGGTGGGGACAGATCCCACAACCCCTTTAAAGAAGCAGGAACAGCAGTGCCTGCACTGCTTGCCATGACTCAGTTGCTCTGTGCTGTCCGATTCAAACCACACAGGCCAGGCCAATAAGCCATATGGGCTGGAAACCCATAATCAAAGTATTTAGGGATATTTACTACAAAGCCTGTGTAAATGGCCTATGGCACGCTTACATCCAAGAACCCAAACCAGCTCCTTCAATTAAAATCTGAGTGCTGGAAAGCCCTGTGAAGTCAGCATCCAGGTTACACTCTGTAGCATGGCTAGAGAAAAGGTCCCCAGTGCCTTCATCCACATTTGGCCTGGGACTCCAAAATTTGAGATGTCAGACTGAATTGCCTCGTTCTTATCAAGTGATACCTGACAGCACACATCTTTTCAGATGCAGTGGCAACAATGTTTGCTTTATGAGCACCTCCACAGCTTATTTGCACTTTCCCTAAGGGCAGCTCCAGTCTGAGAAGGCAGCCACATCCTTCCCTTCCCTTCACACCTCCCCAAGTCAAGATGAGGCTCATCCCAGATGAGCCTCTTGCAGCACACACCATCTGAACAGCCTTGTGTTCTAGCGTCTGGGCTTAGTAACCTCAAAAGGAAAGTCAGACATTCCCCATGCCAAGGCCACAAAGTGGTGGTAGGAGTGGGGGCCACCAGATTAGCCCATGTGCGGGTACACCGGTGCCTGCAGGAAACAAAAGGTGCAGGCACCATTGTCCACAGCAAACTGTGCATACTGCTAACATTCACTGAGCCCAAAGCCCACTAATCAAAACATCTCAATGTGATGTGCAAGGACAGGACAAAACATTGACTCAGCAGAGTTAGGGTGAAGGAGTACCTTAAGCTGCATATCCAATATGCAGCACATAGCATGCTTTAGAAGATAATGTCCAAGTCTGATAGCACTAATAGCTTTTGCATCTTCCCTACTTCACTTCCCAAGCACTATACTAAAGTTATTTGGTTCTATCTGTTTTAGATGGGGCTAAAATGTTAAGCAAAGTCAGCACAAGCTATGCACAAACTTCCATAATGCTGAGCTGACACCATTCCTTTGCCAAGGCAGTGCCATGGGGCATCATGCACCACACTCAGGAGAACCAGGATGGGAACTGCACTAATGCCCCCAAGTCCAGTTAGAAATGGCCAGCTCTCACTACACCCACGTAACTCGGGAGTGGCAGGCATTAGCAGAGGCAACCAGTAAGGCTCTAACTCCTTTTCCTCCAGGCAGGACCAGGACAGCCCACAGCAAGGCACGAGCAGCTCTTACAAAATATCCATGCAGAGCTTAAGAAGAGGTGGACATCAGTTTAGCAGAGGCAACCAGTAAGGCTCTAACTCCACACTCTGCTGCCTTTTCCTCCTGGCAGGACCAGGACAGCCCACAGCAAGGCATGAGCAGCTCTTACAAAATATCCGTGCAGAGCTTAAGAAGAGGTGGACATCAGGGTAGCCACCATTCCCCTCCACACATTTACCAACCACTCATCTACCCCTTAGCTTCTTGGTCTTTTAGTTCAAGGATTATTAGTAAGGTGCAGAGACAGGACATGTGCTCACAGCTCCCAAAGCTCAAGAAACACACCCCAAACTTTCCTGGAAAGTACATCTTGAGTTGTTAACAGGAACTGGAAGAGCAAACAGCAACCACACAAGCCTCACAATCTCCCTGGGAACTGTCTGACACATTTCCATGCCCTGTTGCTCCATTCAGTGAGGATCAAAGAATAAGTGACCTGTCCCCATCCCCTTCAGCTTCCCCTCCACCCCACAGAGGGTCCAGCAAAGGGCAACGTCCTTCAGATGGGGTACAGATGCTCAAGGAAGGTGGCTCAGTACAGACAGTGGCAGCTTGAACTCTTGGCTCTGGTTTTTGACCACAGCTCCTGTAACTTCATGAAAGCAGGTTTCCCCTTCTCCGCTTCTGCTCGATTTCAGTTCAAAAAGGTGACATGGCCCTGGGACTGGGGGTTAGGACTCTACTCAGAGGCATGAGGGACGGTGATGGTGTATCACACCATAGCATGTTTCAGCAGCCAATCTCCAGGGGAGCCCTGTAGGGAGAAGGTCTGGGGTTGCCTTCTGAATTGCTTCAGTCAGCAGCATCAGGGACAGTGGCGATCATCAGTCTGAGGGGCAACGCTCTGTCCCAGAGGGAGCACCCAAGGTGGGATTCAATGGCAGAGGAGCACAGCAGCACCTGTCTCCAGCTGCCCCAGGAGGAGGGCAGCCTGCGCAGCACGGCTGTTCACCACCCAGCCGGGAAGCCAGCACCCAGCTCTCACTGGCTGGGTTTTGTGCACACTCCCAGGGACAAACACCCCGGTGCCAGGAGAAGCTGGTCCCCCCTGCCCAGCAGAGAAAGCTGCCTATACCCCAGCTCACAGGGAGCAGCCTGCCCTCCCAGGCACCGCGCAGAGCGTGGCAGGCTGGTACTCAGCGTCCCTGGGCTCCAGCTCCCTGCGAGAGGAAAGCAGCTGCAGGCTGCATTGCAAAATTATGCGTGGGCAGCTTCTTGGCTACTCATGGGATAAGCAGCTACTGCTTCCACTCCCCCCAGCCTTCACAGGGGCAGCTCCATTTGCTGTCCTCAACTCCACAGGCCATGCGGGGGAGGAACTGGCTGCAGGGAAGGTGGCCGCACAGGGGCTGCCAGTGGGTTTCCCCTTAACTCTTCTCCATATGGTGTCTCAACAACTGGCCTGGAGGACACTCAGCACTTCCAGTACCCACTGTGGGGCAGAGCTGCCCCGTCCCTGTTACGCAAAGGCTGGTGAGACCACATCCACATGCCCACCAAGCAAAAGCAGCTGTTGCAGGGCCAGCTCAGCAGTGCCCAAGACACCCCAGCAAAGGAGCTGTGCCTGGGAAGACAGCACAGCTACAGACTCTGTCTTTCTTCCCCAGCTCATGAAGCGAGGTGGGCACGGCACCCCATTTGCTGCGTGATACCCAGGCCAAGAGCTTGGAACAGCATTTGGCTTCAGCTGGCAACCCACAACTGCTTTGCCCATAGAGGGACCAAAGCCATCAGCATCCCCCAGGCCCTTCTAACAGCATCCTGCAGCATCCTAGCCACAGCTCCTGCCATTGCAGAGCTGCCCAGCCCTTCCCTAGGTGAGCTCCATGGGATGTTGCATGAGCTGATTGGACTCCTTGAGCACAGAGCTCCTGTGCAAGGTGATCAGATGGACTCCATCGTACCAGTTCTTCCCACAGGAGTCTTCCACAAGGGGCTGGGGGAAAGGAACAGGCACCCTCTCCCCACAGGTGGGCCTGGGTGCTGCTGAGCTTTTGCCGTAAGAGTCAAGCCAAACCAAGTGTCAGCACCATTTGGAGAGTGGGCTGCTCTCTGGAACTGGCTCCCTTCAGCTCACACCTCATCATGGGCAGCTTTTCATATCATCTAGCAGCTCCTAGCTGACATCTCCAGAGAATGCACATCATCCCATCCTCAGACAGCATCATCTGAGGTATTCTCTCATAGGAGTAAATGCGCTATTCAGAAGGGTTGTGTATTGGACCTTCTGACAGCAGCCACCACCTTCACCAACCCTCCGAATCGATGGGTTCCCAGCTCCATCTGCAGGCAGTGGGAGATGCAAACACTCACCACCAGTACAGCAAGGGTCAAGGAGTCAAAGACTGGACAACCAACACATGAGACAACCACACAAAGAAAATGCTGTGCAAGTATCTCCCAAGTCCCTGCAGCCTGGTTTTGATGTGCCAGTCTGCAGAAGCAGAAGCTGCCCACCTTCCCCATCCCAGGAACACGAGGTGACACCAGGGCGCCCACCAACCAGTGGGGTAGGGGCAGCCCCAACCAGCAGTGCCTGCAGCACAAGCTGAGTCACCGCTGCCACTCAGCACTGCTCAATCCATGTGCCTTGTCCCCATAGAAAAGACAATGCCAATGCCAGCAGCACCATAGGCTCGTTGGAACCTGAGACGGGATGAAAGCATCTGACAGCTTCTCCTTTGGGTGCATGCCCCAAACTAGGGACATGTTGGCTGCACCAGACCCTGCTCCACAGGCAGGGCTTGAGCCCAGCCGACTGCCAACGGCTGCATGGGACCAGTCAGGTCTGGGACATGGGCCACTACTCCCAGCCCATGCTGCAGGGACATAAATTCAGGCACGGGAAAGAGGCAGGTGGTGGAGCAGCTGCCAACATGCATGCACATCACCAAAGAGGCAGCATGACATGCTTATAAAACACACCGCTGGCCACCCTGGCAGGAAATCCAAGCACAGGCAGGAGAGAAACCCAGGCAGGTGTAGGCAACAGCCCTGCAGCCAGCAGCCCCTGAGACTCACCTCACTTTTCATGGGTTGGGGTCTCTTCCCAAGCTTCACCTCCAGGAAGTGGAGTGGTGAGATCATGGCCCCGATGTTGCGGATGTCGGCGTACTTCAGCTCCTCGGCAGTCAGGGCTGTGCCAGGCAGTCCCGTCAAGGGGCCAAGCCCAGGCAGCGCGCCGGCCGTCAGGGACGGGTCGGGGATCTGTCCTGGCATCATAGCAGGGGAAGCAGCTTCGTAGGCTGCAGGGAGAGTGAGACACAGCCCGTTAAAACCCAGCTACAGGGCCTCAGGACATGGCACAAGACAAATTTATTCTACAGTCCCACCACTTAATGGGGTGCAAACTAAGGAAATCAGCTGCTCTTCCCTGGGGATAGCAAAGGCAAGGACTAAGCAGAACCCAAAATACATGAATCCTGCTAGGAAGGGTATGCTACTGGTGTGTAGACCAGGAAGGGAAGATACTCAAGAGGCAAAGCAGCAGCAGAATAGGAGCTGGCTGCAATGACAGTGATGTAGTCCCATGGACTACTGGTTTTGGCACACTTTTCTCTGAAGTGCAGAAGATCAAGGTTTGCTCTTAAGCAAGTTTTGCTTAATGTGTAGGTTATTAGGACAAGAAAATGGCACAAAGCCACATATGGCACATAATATGCCTTAGACTGGATTTCTTCTGGGCAGGCTCAGCCTGCTGGTCAGGGCTGGGACATGACACAAGAGGACCAGGGATAGAACCACGAGAGAAAAACCTGCCACTGAACAAACATCTCCCAGCACAGACACGAGGAAGCAAAGGCTGGAGAGGAGGGGAAATGGAGCAAGGTACAAAAGGCTTCTTCTATCAGGAAAGAAAAAAAAAATTGCTGCACAAGTAAGAATAGGATCAGGACAAGCTTTGGCAAGTCACCTACAGGCAGAAGAAAGGGAGTTACCAAGAATTGTGAAGAACAAGCTGCTAAGAGATAAAATGGGAAGCGCATAGAGCTGGAGCTATTATATCAGCCAAAAAGCAAAGGGAGCAGGTGGTTGTTGGCTACAGCACAAGTACATCCCTGCTTGTGTAACTGCCCTGGGACACTCACACTGACCCAGTTACAACACACGGAGTCAACTTCGGCCCACAGAGCAACTATTTCCCCCTGCCCTCTCAACTCAGCCACATGTCCCAGTGTGCACACACTGCTCTCCTTCCTTCAACCAGACAGGTCCCAGCACACTCCAGGAGCCTCCAGGCATCCACCCATCCTGCCCCCATGCCAGGAGGCATCAGTGCAGCAGGGAGAGGGACCAGCAATGTCAGGGCTGAGAAACAGGTTCACGGAGTGGACCCAAAATCTCACTGAGCAGCTTCCTGCAACCACTAGAGCCACACAAGGTAGGATTCAACGAGCACTTGGGCAAACTCATAGAAGAGGGACCATCAGGCATAACAATCTGCAAAAACTCCTAGAAGCTCCGAAATCACCAATTGCCAGAGCAAGGAGGTGCATTATGTGAGGGATAACATGCACATGCCCTGCTCTTTCCAAAGCATCCACTCTCAGCTGCTGAGAGGCCAGGTAACAGGCAATGCAGATTTTTGGTGGAGGCAGTAGAGCAGTGCTAAGCTGAGGCACACACACATTGTCAAGCCAGATGCCATCCTGGAGTGACAAATCTATGCCAGTACCAGGCCAAAAACTTGAGTAAAGCTGCATGTGAGATAGGACTGTTGGATCACAGAGTTACAGAGCAGTTGAAGTGGGGAGGAACCTCTGGAGATCGCCTGGTCCAACCCTTCTGCTCAAGTAGAGTCAGTGGGAGCAGGTTGAACGGGGTTAATCATGACAAGCAGAGAAGTTAAGGATTTCTTGGTGCTGGCACATCTCTTTACCCAGGAGATTATCTGATATATTTGTTAATATGAAGGAATAGGAGATGAGCAGTGGAAGGGAAGGAAAGCCAATCACACAGGTTAGTCAAGGGTAGGGAGGTTAACACAAGCTCCACAGCTCCCAGCATGGGGGCTGTGCAAGCCATACTGGCATGACAGACAAGGGGATTTGCATCAGAGAGCTCCTATGAGCTGCAATATGCTGTAAGCTGTCATACACTCTAATCTGCCACCAAAGAGGTCCAAGTGTCATCAAGAGATGTCCCTTGGCAGGGTTTGCTCAGCAGACAGCAGCAGTGACCAACAGGACTTGAGAAAGAGCATGGAAAGCAAATGCAGCAAGACCATGACCATAAAGAGGCAGCGAGCAGGAAACAAGCCCTCTGCTCTGGTCATCCTCCAGAAGGAGAGACCAGAAAGGGAAGAGCAGACCCAGTGCTCAGCAGTTCTGGTACACAGGGGGAGGAAGCTGGGTCTGGGGGAGGTGATCTACACAAGGACATTAAAACCTGAAAAGGAGAAGATGAGAAAAACAGGAGACACAAGTAACTTCTGCAGTGAAGTGATATGACCTGATGAAATGGACTCCTGCTCATTTAGTGACAAGAGAAAAAGAAAATACTTGGTAATGATACTTGACCTCAGAAAAGACTACATGTCAGCTCATTGAGATTGCACGGACCTAAACTGATCCAAAGCATTCATTCTCCCATAGCAATCTCTAAACCAGACAGCAGTAACTCCCCATCTGCAGTGGTTGCCTTGTAGAGCATCAGGAGATGCCAAATCACAGCAGGGCTCTGAAGCTGCACGCTACCTCCCTCTCCTTCCTTTCAGGCCTACACACAGCTAAGATGCTTCCCTCCTCCAGAAACCAGAGGACACTACCCTAGGCTGCAGTTCAGATAGAAAAATGCAAAAAGTTATTTGGGGACTGCATGCAGGTCCCTACCATCTTCCTCAGAGATTGTCCCTCAGCACCAGGTCAGTGAGGTGGCATGGCAAAGGGGAATGACTCCAGCAGCTCTTCCCAGGACATACTGCCACAGGACTCAGCTGTGTGGAGTTAAATACAGTCTAACATTTTGGGAGAGCTGCACGCGCTGCAGAGCTAACCATTTCCCAGCTGCTGCCACCAAGATGACGTGTTGTGGCACTTGGGAAGGAGCCTGACAACAGCAGCACACCCCTCACCAGCAATACCATAGATGTCCATCCCCAGCTTGAAGAGTTTAGGCTTCAGTAATTTTTTTTTTAAATGGTAAAGGATATGAACACCCTCATCAAGTCTCCCTCCTGCAAATTCCACATGTGGGCTGCTGGAGCTCACACTGATTTGGGGCCCTGACTCACCCTTTCACAGGCTTCAGGCTGGGAACTGACTTGAGCCCAGCACTGGATGACTAAATCCATTCCTGATTTGGGGAAACTGGTTTTAATTTGTCGTCTTCCATCACACGTGCAGCTGACAGCACCCAGGCGCTGGGCTGGACAGTCCAGGTCCTCAGACACACCAAATTCAGGGTCACTGCAATTTATGAAATAAGGAGGGAGGAAGAATTTGTTCTCCAGACTGTGGGACTACCTGGCCACCAAGCACCTCCCTGCACTCCCGAGTCTGGGGCAGTCCCCCAGGGACAAGTGGCTAAAGATTTGAGAAAACATTGTGCTTTCTCTGGCCCACTTTTTCCCTCTACCTCTTTGATCTGGTAGCTTAACATGCCTTGAAATAGCCTCTGTAACAGCGTGACATCAGGCACAGGTCAGAGTGAAGGAGCTGGGCCAGTACCTAACATGCTCGAAAAAACTTATCCTGGATCCAGGGTCTGCACTGCCAAAGCCCCATCACACCTGCATCAGTGTAAAATAAATCTAAAGCTGTTCAAACCAAAGCACCAGGAGCCATCTGGATGACCCTGTGCATTAAGACAAACTGAGAACTAGGTGGGAAGGGGGAAAGTGACTTCTACAAGCAAGATCTTGCTCAGGGGTCAGGAAGCTCAGAATCACACTGAGAACTGCCAAGAGTCAAGCCGAGTTAGACCTTGCAGAGGAATGCAAAACCATTCTCCTTTCATCCCAAGTCCCAGATATTTTCACCTTCTTTTCTGGTTAACACTAGAGGTAAGAAGTTGTACTTTGATTGTATCAAAAAAGCCACGGCATGTAATTCTATTTAATGCTTCGGTCTTCTTCCCAAGGCTGTTATTCTGGAAGACATTGACACGTCTGCCTACAGCTCCACCATATTTCTACCACATTTTCATGGTAGGGCAGAAATAACTTTGAAGTTCAAGATCTGAGTTTGACCTTCAAGTTGCAGTTTTTCAATAGCCATGTCTTGCTGGATGGGGTGAATACAGCTGGTGCCTTGCCAATCCCCAATTCCTTTCTGGATATTCCCTGGCAGTGTTTGTTATTTCTAAGGCACATGAACCAACCTCTGTACTCCTTCCCTTTCTAACACAGTGCTTTAGCTGGGATTCTTATTAGATTTTTTGCTTTTCAAAACTGCTTATTAACACAGTCTTTTTTCCTCAATGCAAGACAGTCTTTCAATGTCTCCTTCCATGAGCTGAGAAATATTGTGTCTTCAGTAAAACCTAGCTTTCTGGTGTCCTACAGCTGAACCACACAATTTCTGCATTGTACCAGCTATACTTTTTCACATAATGAAGCCAACAGTAAAGCAAAGCAGCAGGGGAAAGAGGATGTGCAGTCTTACATCTGACACTAGGATCTGCGTGACACCAGCTGCTCAAGTTTACATTCGCTGTAGCTGTGCCTTCTGCACTGATGCTATTCATCATTTTGTGCCACAACATCAAGATGCTCCAGAGTGAATTAGGAGACAGAGAAGGCTTTCTTAAAACTCCAGTTCAGTGACAAGCAGCTTGTTTCATTCAATGCTCTCTTCAGCAACTATCCTTACAGCAAAAATCTGGTCAACACATGATTTCATGGGTCAAAATTCAGTTTGTATTTCCTTAGTTTTGCCTCTACACTTCCCTTGTTCTGGTTAAAATGCTGCAACACAAAATTTGACCTCTTGCCAAGATGTCTGTAAACCCTCCTAATTATTGCAGTCACTTTTGCATCCTTGCTTTGGCACTGTTCTTGTCATGGTCTCGGTCAACCTCAGGTCAAGCTCAATTATTTTATAGGCAGTCTCATCCCCAAAAAGCTGACAACGGTACAGCTTCTTTTGCTCACCTTGGTTTTGCTGCTTCTTTCCCATTAGTGACAAGTATTTCTGTGCTTTGTCCCCCAATTTTGTCCTTGTGGTCAACAGTCTGTGATACTGGTTGATTTAATATTTCTTAAAGGCAGTGCCTATTACACA